AAAAAAATTTCCTTTTATATCTAATATTTGAAAATTTAATACAAGGCTCATAATATATTTTTACAATAGCAGTTGAAAAATAAAATAAATGTATAGTCACAATTTTTTTTATAAGCATTCAAAGTTTGAATTTTGACAACATTTTATGTAAAAATCACTAAAATTCGAAAATTTTTAATAATCTATAATATATCCTAGACAGATAAACCGTTCAGAATCGTTTTTCGTATACAATGATTTATGATATAATATCATTGGATTCAAATTTAATTACATCCATTACAGTAACCTACTGTACAGCAGAGCGACATCCACGACTTACCCTCTTTTTTTTTATAAATATCGATAAATTGTATTTTACTTAGCTAAAAAAATTTAATTTTTTACAAGATACCTCATAAGTTGTGTACATACCAATTAAAAGATATCCAAAATAAGTGTAATCAAAATTCAAAATTGACTAATTTTGTCAAAATCGAGAAGGTTCGTGAATTTTTTGTGCTAAATGTAGGTATAATGTATTAATGTTTGATTTTTAAAGTTAAGACTTGAACATTCAATATGAGATTTGTCATATGCTGTAATTTACTRAAATTTGAAACCAAACAACCTGAAAAATACATAAACTTAATTTTTTTATAAATATTTGAAGTTTGATACTTTTTTTTTAATGTTTTATTCAATCAGTTACAAAAATATGAACAATAAGAACAATTGTGGAAGTAAATAAACAGTAAAAAAAAATAATAATAATAATATACAAATTGATATAAATGACAGGTAAATAAACAGAATGTACAAGCCTCCTCGTGGAAGTATTACCATAAAGTTTGATACTTAAATTAAATTTTTGGTTATTTTTTTGTAATTAAAAAAATACTTTCTCGGCGATTAGAAGCTTTTAGGAATCAGGTACCTCTATATTTTATATTTTATACACACAATAGGTAATGTTTTCAAAACACTTTGATTCATTTTAAGTTATTGCCTGAAATGCGGCAAACTATTCACACCGTTCTATGGYAACACGCAAGATAGATATTCAAGTCAAAATTTAATAACAATAATATAATATTATGATGAAAATATTGTATACAATTAAAATAGTTTAACATTAATAATATAATAAATGTTTTTGTTAAAAAACTAATTAACCTACCATATTACTTATTCATAGGCGGTTCCAGGAATTGACATTAGGTGCAGCACATTAAATTATAGTATACACATAGGTATGTACTTATATCCCAAATTCCCAATATCATTACCACACATATAAATACATACATACACATTACACAMACACAAATAAACATTTTATTCCATTTTTCTACTTGGAATTTTAAATTTTATTTATTTTTATAAACAGTTATGAATTATAATTAATATTATTGATAAAGAAAAAAACGTGGAGTGCGGTTGAAATGTCAGGTGCAGCACAGGCCGCACCCGTAGGAACGCCTATGTACTTATATAGTACCAAAAATTATACCGTGAAACATACTCAGTGACATTCCTATTAGTGGTGATTATAGGGAGGGGTGCATAGTCCCCCAAAAATATTCAAATCACCTCCTAAAATAATTGAATATTATTTAAAGCTCCAACTTCTTATTTTGTAAACAAAGATTAAGTTCCTCCTAAATTCAATTAAATCTCCGTCTATATCTTTCTTTATACTTAGCCATATAAACTGACAACTTTTCACAGTCTTTTTCGTATTCAATAATCAAATTTAACTTATTCTTGATCCATTACACTTTACACAGGCCAATTTGAAAACCATCGTACAACAGGGTGGTAGTATCACTTCATTCGTCCACTTTTTTTATTATTGATGTTGTATTTTAAGTTCAAACCGGAGTAAAATATATAGGATCAAATAGAATCTCTTTTTTAATAAGTTATTTTTCARTATATAGTACTAGTTCTAAATTACAAATATAACATAAAAAATYTACGCTCAGCAAATCACATTMAGCTCCGTTAGTTTTAAAACTAGAGTAAATCGACCTTGTTCTTTATATTGAAACTTGATATTTAGAACATTAACTGTGTTTGCATGTGGGTTTTTTTTATGATAGTTCAATTTTGTAGTAGGTTATGCGTATATAAAAAAGCATAAACTATAAATGCTCATAATTCACTTAAAAACTAAGTTTATGTAAAAAAATCAAATACAAACACAGATTATGTTCTTACCATCATGTTTGAAATTAGGTCAATTAACTTTAAGTTTTAAACAAACAGAATTAAATGTGATCTGCTAAGCGTAAATTTGCTGTTACACACTTGTAAGATGGAGACAACAAATATATATGTAGCACCTTCTTAAGATACTAAGTGAAATGTTTATCTACTCTATTAATTTAAAATAAATTAAATATCGGGTGTATTATACTTTGAGTTCTAGAAAAAATTTAGAGATAATTAAATTTTGATCAAAAAGTTACTATTTGTCAAAGACAATTTTATTATAAAATGTACACATATTATTGTCAGCATAATAACTTTAAAAAACAGGACAGGTATTAAATGCTTTAAATCTAAGGATATCATACATACAACTTTATTGATACATCATGATATTTACTACTTACATTAACCATTAAAACTTTGTGAAATTAAAAATAAATTATATATTATTAAAATATAACAAATGAGTAAAACTCAGTCAATTACACATTCAGCTCCTACTTTAGTAAATGCTTCCTTTAATTTCTCTGCCTCATCTTTACCAATATCTGATTTGATAACTGTAGGGGCACTTTCGACAAACTTTTTAGCCTGAAATTGCAATATTATATGAAATAACTGGATTATGGTCATAATTATTCAAGGTAACACTAACCTGTACTAAATTCATGCCTTCTAATAAGTTTTTCACTTCTTTAATCAAGGCAACCTTTTGTTTTTCATCAAATTTCATAAGTTTAACGGTGAAACTTGTCTTGACTGTTGTAGCTACTTCTTCTTCTTCATCCTATTGAAAAAAATTGATATTGTCATTTTGATATTGTCGTTTAGGAAGTTTTTTTAAAAATTATATCTACTTGTCCTGTTGCAGCTGGGGCGCTGACCACTGCTCCCATGGGAACGTCTTTAAGGTTAAGTCGGACTTTTAATAATTCAGTAAACTGTGACACTTCAACCATTGTCAATGAAGAGATTTCTGTGTACAGTTTTTCTAATTTAGGAGAGCTCGTTAGTTGGGTTCCGTCTGGCTGTGGTACAGTTAATGGCTCAGTGACGGCAGAGTACATTCTTAATGTTCTATAAATGAAATAAAAATTTGTTTAGCTTCCGAGTAACAATAAAGGTTAATTATTTGTTCGTACGTACTTTTTCGACAAAGGTCGCAAATGTCGTCCAAATATACGGAGTGGAGTGGTTAACAACATTTTAACAAGTGTATTTATGAAATATCGGAACTATAACAGATTTTGAAGAAGTATTTACTAATTAATATTCAAAATTTCAAAATAAAAGTTCGATAAGAAATTTGATTGAAAATCTTCGGTCTTCCAAAACGAGAACGACAGAGCTAACCTAAAATGATACCAATACCAAATAGTGCAAATACCAATAGCAGAGCAGAAGGCAGAACAGCTGCACCGAAAATTGAAATTCTTATTTTTCATTTCCTTGTCTGAACCTCGGAAAAGATATCGTCCATGTGACCCAATCAAATCAAATCATTGGTTGGGTAAATTGTTAACCACGGTATAAAATATAAATGTTCATGCTATCAATTTTTTGGCGGGTAAATACAACATTATATGAAACAAACAAATGATACGATGTACAAAAGCAATTTCATACATGACTTTTATTTAGTTTTGATTTTCGTACTGAAATACTCCTATAAAAGAAAAGCTTTTTTTTTTTTTATTGAAGTATATTGAATGAGATATTTATATTTATAATAATTTTCACGTTTTTGTTGGCCACGTAGTAAACGCAAGCAAGACCAATTATTGACATTTGAAGGGCCATGGGTATTCAAGGGCTGATACCTCTTTTAGAAAAATCATGGAGGACCATCAACATATCGGAGTTTTCTGGATGTACTGTGGCCATCGACGCTTATTGCTGGTTACACAAAGGTGTATATACTTGTGCTGAGAAATTAGCAAGAGGAGAGGACAGTCAAGCGTRAGTACAATTAATAATATTCTTGAAGTTATATACCGATTTTTTAGCTTTTGTCTCAATAAAGCAATGTTTAGATATTAAAAAACGTCTTCACTTGTTGTTCCATTTTTCTACAGCTTAAATAATTTTATTTTGGTAAGCATATTAAAAAATAATCTTGAAGTGTAACTAAGTTTTTCGACTGCGCTGAAGTTTTGAGTTTTAAAAATATCATTATGGGATTGGTWTAAAGTATGGTTCACTTTGTATGACATTTTTTTTTTTTGTARGGATTAATATTTGTAGAGATTATAATTAATTAAGGGGTAGAATTAAGAATTATATTTTATATTAAAAAATATGTATAAATAGTGGKACACTCTAAATTGTTTTTTAAAAACAAAAAATAAACTAGACTGTGTAGACCCAGCATTAAATACTATGCTTTAATATTCATATAGTTAATTTGCATAGCCTAACTATGATTAAAAGGTTATCATTTATTATTATTTAAATCAACTAAATTAACTGGGATAACGCTGGAATTAAATTTATTGGTTTTTAGATATAATTAAGATTGTAATGTAATTTGTCTATCCCTTTTAGTTCTTAATATTTAATTATATTTAATTTCCTATTGATCCCAATCAAATGGTATATTATAAGTGTGGTCAATCTGTTGCTCACTTCTTAACATTTGTACTAATATAATAAAAATTAAAAAGTATCATATTTTTTACTGCTTTTCACATTAAATCTCATTATTTTTTACGGTTCACAACTTATCACTGGTTATCCCTGATTAWAAAGTTGCATTTATAATATTACTGTAAACAGTGTAAACTATAAAATCATAATCCTTCATAATAATTTTACTTACACTGGTAAAACTGCATATATTTTATATTATTATTATTATTATTAACAGAAATTAGGAAAATTAAACATTTAAATATAAGATTTTTTTTTTCTAGACATGTATAAAGATCTTTTTATAATTTAAAATGGTTTATTATTAAATTTAATATCTTCTTATTTTATTTTATTTACTTATTTTTTAAATTTTTTAGGTATGTATACTATTGTATGCGTTTTGTGTCAATGTTGTTAGATAAAAATATTAAACCAATTTTAGTGTTTGATGGACAACGTTTACCCGCTAAAGCTGATACTGAATCAAAACGCCGAAAGTAATAATATAATAAATAATAATATATATTACAGTGGCATAGTCAGAGGGGATGCAGATGGGGCTTTGGACCCCACCACCAAAATTTTAAGAAAATTAAAAAAAATTATTTCTATGATCTATAAAAATAACTGCAAATACAAAATTATTTTATATAGCTGTACAGTAACCTTAAATAAAACATCCGCATCAGTATGCTAAACTTTTGGGAGACCCTAGTTAACTCAGTGTAAACACATTATGAGCACCCTCAAAAGAAAAATCCCGGCTAAGCCACTGRTATATCTTAAATATTGTTGTTATATTTTATGATGTTTTTACATTATTATAATGATTATTATTTAGACTAAGAGAAGAAAATCGAAAGAAAGCAGCCGAATTGATGCGTTTGGATAAAGGAAAAGAAGCTTCATCTCTTTTAAGACGGAGTATTGATGTTACCCATAAAATGGCTTTAAAYCTCATTAAGCGTTGCAGAAAGATTAATGTTGATTGTATTGTAGCACCATATGAAGCTGATTCTCAATTAGCATATTTAAATTTAAGCGGAATCGCTCATATAGTTATTACAGAAGACTCAGATTTATTGCTGTTTGGTTGCAAAARAGTAAAATAATTTATTAATTATCTTTGAATTTATTGAAATAGTTTAATGTTTGATATTTTTACAGGTTTTATTTAAATTAGACCAAAATGGTGCTGGTATATTAATTGAACAAGAAAAAATACATCTCTCAATGAATATCCAACCTGAAGAGTTTAGCTTTGATAAATTTCGTTATATGTGTATACTATCGGGCTGTGATTATTTACCTTCTGTTCCTGGAGTAGGGTTGGTTAAAGCTCGACAATTCATCACTAGAACAAGTGAACCAGATATCTACAAAGTACATTTTTGCTTACATTAATTTTAACATGATAGTTAATAAATGTTATTTCAATATTTTAGGCACTTTCAAGATTAGGATCTTTTGTGAATATTAAAATCCCTCCTGAATACCGTGATCAATTTATGGATGCTGATCGTATGTTTAAGTATCAACCTGTATTCGATCCATTATCTCGTCGAATTATACCATTAAATGATATATCAGACTCTAATATATCTGTGCTTGTTTCAAAGCTAACCTCTCATCAGGCTTATCAACTTGCCCTAGGAAATATAGATCCCATTTCTTTAGAAGTTGTAGATAATTGGGATCCCGATATTAAATTAGTAAGAATGTACTTATAACGTTGATAACATAATTTATTTATATAATGGATAATTGATTTGGTGGTTACAGATTCCTGATGAAATTGTGAAAAATAAAATTATTAAAGCTCGTCATAAAAGCATTTGGTCAAAAGACTACCAACCATCTAAATATAACCCTAAAGTATGTACTTTTACACCAGAARTTGTCAAGAATTCTCCCACTACAAGTCCCAAGGTATCCAATAATTTCACTCGGTCATCACAAATTCATCAAACACCTGTAATTAAGAAACTTCTACCTGGTATTTATTATTCAATATACGCAGACTGCTAGAATAAATAATATTTATATATAATAATTAGTGTGTTATTTTTTTAGTAACTGAAGATGATATACTAAATACTCTTGATGAAATTTATGAAAATGAAAACATTTTGGAAAAATGTGATGTTATTACTGAAGAAAAATATAARTCAACACCATTACCGTCCATTAAAGATTGCCAAATTAAAGACAAACATTTTAAACAAGATTCCGATACGGAAGAAAATGAATCGCCTTCATTTTTAAAACAATTATCTAAAAGAAAGTATACAGTTATAGACCCAGATGTTCAAGTAGTTAGTGGGTTAGTTTTTAAAATTCTATTAACTTATTWACTTAAGTTTTAATAAAAATTATTTATTTCTAGTTACTTTTCTCCTCAAACATCCAAAATAAGTGAAGTTCATGAAGAAGAATCTATAAATCCATTTAAAACTCGCAAGATAACCATACATAAAATTATAAATAGTAAAGATGATTTAAATACCTCTTTAAATTCTAGTCATATTAACGAAGGAAATATACCACAATGTTTTGAAAACGAAGAAGTCAACACAAAAACATTTAATAAAAAACTTCCTAATCAAACGCAAACTGCCTTTAGTTGGAAGAGTTACTCAAATAATAGAATGGTAACAAATAGAGAAATACATAATGAGGAACAAAAATACCAGAACAGTCCAAATGATACCTTTTCAGTGATTGATGATATTAAAAGAGTAAGAATGTTAGCTTATATGGAGACGTCAGGAATGCGCTAATTATTATAGTGACACTACAGTTACACACTATTTTTTTGAAGAGATTACATATTAACAATGCACCTAATTATTCTATGATCTAATATAAGAAATACTATAGCATCCCTAGAAATTTAGCGTAGTAATAATTATCATTATTTTGTTACTACATGTAACAACCTATTTGGTGATAATTAAAATGTTATAATCAGGGTTACAACCTGTTTACCTATAGAAATTATAATCATCAAAATAAGCATCTAATTACTTCATATTAAACACTCAAATAAGTACTTACAAATATTTAAAAAAAAATTAGCCTTTGCAAATTTTCAATAACATTTAAACCTTTTTATTCTTCTTATAGATTTTCTGAAATTAAAATCGCTTAAGAATAATCGAAAAAAAATTGAATTATTTGATTAATAGATAAGCTAGTAAATAATATGATTYCTGGTGTTTATTTTAGGAAATTATATAGTTCAAAGGAAAGCAAATATTTTTAGTTCTAGCTTTACTATTAATTACAACAAAAATCCAGAAGTTAATTTTAATATCTWGGTTTTTATCATTGACAAGTGTCATCATAAATCATAATTAAGCAGAGATGTGCATAAAACAAAAATATAAGAGAAACCGAAATAAACATTTTTTATTTTTTTAATATTGTTGAAAAAAGAACCTTCAAATCTCTTAATTGAACATGTTGTAACATGATATACTCTTCCATAGCACTGCTAGGTTTTATATTKTATCATGAAAATAATTAAATGCTATGTCTCTGGCTCTTATGGTAACTATTTTGATTATAAATTAATATAATATTAATTATCGTATTAGTGAATATTTTGTGTTCCACAGCTAAATCTTATAGTCTAATCAGTGTTAGCTACAAACTCCTAATTTTCAATCAAAATTAAAAAAAAAATTGTGACTGTGTGCCACATATTTTTTGGAGTAGCTGTAAAAAACCAATAGTGTCCYGAGTCCTGACTACTACTTMCATAATATTTATTATTCTTATGTTTTAAATTTTCAACGTATTTAGGAAATAATTAATATCTATATGATTTTTTATTGGATATTATACTATTAAATTTATAAATGTAAAATTATATTATATTTAAACAATTGGTTTAAAATTCTCAATATAGTCCTATCATAATGGCTTTATTCATTTATACAAAAATGGATACAAATTAAAATATATCATCTATTGATATAAAATATTTAGATTATTTAGGAAAATATTTGAATTTTATAACGTAAAATAAGTACATGTTTCTTATTAGTCATTAATAAGTAATTAAAAAATTATAATTAAAGCATGTTATACTATCATCAGTAAAATCATTATTTTATCAGKTCGACCATGAAAACGATATTGATGAAGGATTCGGTAGTCAGAGTACAAAAGAAACCAACAATATTACTGTGACYCCAAAAYTGAGAAAGCGTTCATATCCAAGGACTGGACTATCTAAAAGCACTGGAAAAAACAGTCAGACTCTGTTGTCCAAATTTGGYTTCAAGTAAGCGATTGAAGTTAATTAATTTCGATATAATAAAATTAACTTAGAATTGCTTAATTCTACAGAACTGGTGACAAATTAAAACGTTAAAAGCAAGTATGCTCAATTGATGATTTCTATTCACCCCAAGACTGAAGACGTAAGCTTAAATTACGACAAAAGCTTATTCTTWTTAATTAATTATCTTTAATGTTTATTATTAGGATTTAGATTATTTAATATTTACTATACATGTAAGATTTTTACAAAGATTATCACAAATAAAACATTWAATACTTGGATATGTTTATAGTTTATTTGATAATTTTAAACCGATATCTGTATAAAGTGTCTAAAATGAACACTATAAATTTCTTAGCTAAAACGGTTTATTTATAAACATCGCATAATTGAAGTTAYAATTTATTATTTTATGAATAATATAATATGCAGTACGCATCTACTAATTCTTTTTATTCAGTTGGTAATTGTTACATTATATTATGACATTAATTGTCCACCATTAATTCAATTTATTGATAATAATAAAATTAAGTGATGTATTAGTAGACATTTTTTAATTTAATAAAATACATTCAATTGCTTAAAAGTTGTGTAAAATATAGTTATTTTTCGGCCTTCTAATTGTGTTATTAAACAATACTCGTCATTGTCATGAAGAAAACATATTATATCTTTACATAGATATAGTTATTATTATATTACATAAATTAAATATTAATTATTTACTGTTTAGTGTCCCTAACTCTAAATAAGGCGATGAGCTATCATTACAATTTGTTCCCCCACATAGAATATGACTAAAATTATACAATTTATTATGACCAACAAATGGAATGTTTATATAGATAAATAAAACTGATCTTTCTTACAAACATAAAAAATTAAAAAAWATTAAAATGTGCTAACTTTTTCTATATTTTAATACGCTTCAAATATATATAATATTTATATTACTTAATGTTAAGTATTTACAATTAATTGGTACAAGACAGTAAAAAAAAATAAAGTAAAATAAAATAAAATTATCATTTAAGTAATTTTTATATCATATTAGTAGCACCCATTAAAACTTGGGATTTTTTACTTATTACTTTCAATGCATGCGTATTACTATTTAATGAAAAATAATACAYACATACGTTCTTATTTTACACACTAATATAAGATCCAGAAAAATGAATTTAAATTAATCTCTTGTCTAATAAGTCTACCTAAATAAATTTGATTAGGTATGAAAAAAAAAAATCACAACATTTACAAACTCATAGTATGTTTGGTACTAAGTGTACTTTTGACATGAGGACGTATATTTAATCAAAAAGACAAACAAATATATAAGTAGGAAATTCTTTCCRTGTGAATAACTGCAAAAAAAAAATTAACTTCCAATATTTGCTATACCAATTTGTATGGATTGAAAATTAATTTAGCTGTCAGTGGATCTTTAGTGCAGCATACAGTTATGATACATATTATATTATATTCATGTTAATATTAATACATTTTAATAAAATAGTTCTAATTGTAATAATGAAACTAATTTTTTTTTTTTTTTAATATAAATAATTATACATTTAAATAGAATTGATATTTAAGTAAATAAATTACTTGAAGAGCAAGTAAAAAAAAAAAAAACCTAATGAAAAAACAAACGCTAAAATTCTGATGATGCTGTATTTTTTCAGTTCAAAAATAAATGTTTAAATTGATTTGCATTCATGCATAAAATAATACATATAGGTATTCAAAATATATTTTAACGTATACTCTGATGAATAAACCCCTATCACTGCTATTATATTTTGGGATTCGAATTCAAGAAAAATCAATGAATAACTGCAATTTMGATAAGAAAATATAGACCTTTCTTTAAAAAAAAATCTAAGTATAAAACAAGGCAGTTATTATGACCCTGAATGGGCCTCACTGGGATGTCTTAAAAGTTGAGGTTGACTACCAGATTGGATATGCCTAATWGGCTGAAGTCCCAGGATAGTTGTGTGAAGAGGAGTCGGTTGTAACCCAACTTGTTCAGTCTGTAAATGTTGTATGGATTGGACAGCTGAAGTGGTAGCATTACGATTTCTGGATGGTGGTGGATCCATATGTTGTCTTTCATGTAATACAAGATGATTTTTTTGCATGAAACTTTTACCACATTTTTGACAAGCAAAGGGCTTATCTTTACAGGTGGCATTTGGGTATTTTACGTGATGTTGTTGTAAGCCATGTTTTTGAGTAAAGCCACGGCCACAATCTCCACAATAGTGAGATTTCTTATTGGCTACAACACCGGATTGATGTTGTGATTGGTGATGATTTTGTACATTGGCAATACCATTTGACACACCTTGTACACTTTGTTTCAATGTAGCAGCTAAACTACAAATATCAGATAAGAAACTATGGTCACCAATGTGTAATCGCATGTGAAGTGCTAGTCCTTCATCACTAGCAAATGTTTCACCGCATTCACTGTAAATATTAATGAACATTAATATCAGCAATATTTAATTTATCAAAATCATAAAATCAATCAATATATACCGGCATGCTTTGCTCGCAGTTGCAGTATAAGGAGATCTATGTACTGGTGTTGATGAGTTAAGGCCACAGTTTCTWACGTGGACCAATAATGTGCGTCTTTGCAAGAACTCTTTACCACAAGCAGGGCAAGATTCTGGTATACGGMCATGCTGCCGTTCATGATTGACCAATTCAAATTTACGCAAGAATGCAGCACCACAATCTGGGCACACAAATGGTTGTGTTCCCCCGTGGAATCTTGAATGCATGACTAGATGTTCTTCACGCGAGAATGTYTCACCACAAACCTATAAGCATTTGATCAGATATTTAAAGCATCATTCTGAAAGATCCAAAAAGAGCAAATGAATACTTACAGAACAAGAATATGGACGTTCACCAGAGTGGAATTTTATATGAGTAGTCAGATGACGTTTTTGAGGAAATCGACGGCGACATTCAGGACACTCAAATGGTCTATCTCGAGTGTGAACTCTTTCATGGCTTACCTAAAAATTAATCATTATTATACATTATAAACAAGATGTGGTGAAATAATTATATTATAATAATGTAGCATTAATACTAACCAAATGATGTTTTAATGTAAAACTTTTATTACATTCTAAACATTTGTATGGTCGTTCCGAGCTATGCAATAGCAAATGAGTACTTAAGCAATGTTTCAGAGCAAACGTCTTTCCACATTCAGGACAAATATGAGGTCGCTCACCAGTATGACCTCGCATGTGAGTTGACAAATGATGTTTCATTAGAAACGTTTTGCCACACTCTTCACACCCGTGAGGACGTGCTTTCGGTGGCTAAATAATTACAATAAAATTAGATAATTGATTAGCAGTGCTTAAAAATAGAATCTCACTTGTAACGGTTTGATTTCAACACTAGAACTAGAATCGTGATTGACGAGTGCTGCAACGGCTTGCTGCTGTTGCTGTTGATGGTGTGTATTCAAATTTGGATTTCCAGTTTTGCGAGTGAAATACTCCCCGTCAGTTGTAGACAATTGTATAGGCGGCGCCAAGAAATGTCTAGCTTCTTCGTTCATAAAAAACATACTTCGAAACATGAGATTGTTGCTCATCGTTGTCACGTCATTCTGGTTATTTTTTTTGGCCCCAAGCCGAATATTTTGTCCAGTCRCCGGTCGGCCTTTCTTCGTCGGTTTGATCGGTTTCGGTTCGTAATAYGCAGAACCTGAATTGGCTAACGGCAATGCGCAAGCACTGTCGAGGTTCAATCKTTCGGTCAGATGGTCCGTCACCAATCTTATTGGCTGGAGACTGTCATTGTACCTGGGAACAACAACGATATAAGTATACTACATCTGTGTACGACGGACACCCACGGAYGTCGTTCTGCGCGCGCTGGTCCACTTACCTTTTTAACATTAACTTGCAACACGAATACCTGAGCGACTTCGGGAAACGGCTAAATCACGCACGGTCACGCACAGATGACAATCGAAGCAGCCGCTGGCCGAGCAGTGGTTGTGGCCGTCCGATGGCAAGAAGTCCAAAATACTTGGGACGCGCGCGCGCGCATCGTCGTCCCTAGGCTTTGTTGAACGCGCAACGGTTGGGTGCAGCAACAATCCCGAACGGACAGAAAAACTATCTACCTAGTGGATCGGATTAGACATCGTAAACAACGGAAAGCGTCAATGACATCTTCTGTTGTGTTGATAACGTTCCGCCATTTTAATTGTGTACTGTGTAGGTGAGTCGGCGGCGGGTCGTCGCGACGATGATTACATGCGCGCGCGGGGAGACAAAAAAAATCGACGTAAACGTTGAGAGTGCTGAATGAGTGAGAGAGAGAAGTAAAAGCGAAAAGGTGTATTAACCAACCATTGTCGGGCTGGGTGGAGAAACTGATGGCACAATAATATAGCACCGGACAAATCACACAAACTGCCACCGCTGTATATGCTATACGCGCGCAACCCCATCTGGCGGACTGTGACCCGCCAGTCGTAATCGTTTTGTCCATGATTACGCCCCTCAGACGACCAGTCGGCTATTAATTTTGAATAGCGCGGCCTGCGGGAATCCCATTTGTTCCCATAAAAATTAAAAAAAGGTTCTTCGACTTCCGTTTCCGCCGAACACAGCTTAGTACGAGTGACGGATATATGTTGCTAGGTGGTAAATCTTCAAGTTTTTGAATCGTATTTACAACAATCCGTGTTGAAAACATATTAGTTCTTGTCTAGAATTGATTTTTTGTACAATATTAAGTAAGTTGATACTTTTATTCTTTTTAATTTTATTTCGTAGACTTTTTTTTTTTATTGAAATAAAGAAAAAGACAATCTAATTTCAAATTGGTAATTTGTACAATAAGTCATTACGATAACAATATTATAAATATTAACATAACATGAGTCACATGATATGGGAAGTTACCCACTGATGATATCCCTCGTACAATTTCATAGATTTCATTAATTATCTATAGGTGCAGTAAAAATGATTGTATAGTACGATGTTCGTTTTTTCAGAGTAGTAGGTCACAATTTCAGTTTCTTTTAATTCTGCGTATTTCGTAGACTTACCTACACTTGATTTTGATTAACCAAATTTATTTCAAAGTTTATTATTATTATTATTACTATTATTAGGTATTATTAATTAGTCGTTACCTACTCGTTAGTATTTAATAATGCAGTGTAGGAACATATTATAT